TACATGTATGTGTTGTCCAGTCTGGCCCTAGTCCTAACCCTAACCCTCACCCTGGCCCTAATCCTAATCCTAACCCTAACCTTAACCTCAACGCAAAACCTAATCCTAACCTTCATATGTTTTTGACATGTTACTGAGAGTCTGAGTGTTTGTTTCATCTAAAATGACCACTCAAAACAAAGTGTCACCAAAAGTTGAACGGGGTATCAGGTGGTATCGGATATTGGTACCGGCCCGGTATCAAATGGATATCAGTATCAGTATCGATGCATCCCAACTTCTTTTTTGTTCCACAACCTCCCCCTGCGCCACTGATCCACCAGATCCGTCACCACTCACTGATCCGGGACCTCATCATTTACAAATTAAGCCTCTGCAGGAATCTAAAACACAATCTATCTATGTTCCTATTTAGCTCTGCAACTTTTGAAATGAGACCTGAGGAAGCGACTCCATCAGAATGAATAAAGCCAATCGCAGCATTTGGTCTGTATACGCTGCCCGTTTCATTCTGAGCTGCTTCTGTTTGTGCATCCTCCACTGGGTTGATGAAACCCAGCGAGCTGAAGTCTTTGTTCTCACAGCTCAGCCTCGGGAGAGAATCTGACACGTATCAGAGGCAGGCAGTGTGTCGGGCACAGCACGAGAGCAGGACAAGGTGCTTATTTCACGCCTTCACCATTTGCCCCAAAATCACATGTACTGTGAGGGGATCAATAAGCCGCAACAGCCACTTCTGAACTGATTAGTGAGGCAGCTTGTCCTCGCAGGGCTTTAACACTGGCTGTGAGTCTCAGCTCTACAGAAAATGACTAAGAGAAGCAGAGGAATGCTGCTACATCTTATACTGCGCCTCAAAAGGTGTGTATAAAAACTCGAATGAATGATATAAATACACCGATCAGGCATAACATTATGAGCACCTCCTTGTTTCTACGCTCATTGTCCATTTTATCAGCTCCACTTACTATATAGGTGCACTTTGTAGTTCTAGTTACAGACTGTAGTCCATCTGTTTCTCTGATACTTTGTTAGCCCCCTTTTACCCTGTTCTTCAGTGGTCAGGACCCCCATGGACCCTCACAGAGCAGGTACTGTTTGGGTGGTGGATCATTCTCAGCACTGCAGTAACACTGACGTGGTGGTGGTGTGTTAGTGTGTGTTGCGCTGGTCTGAGTGGATCAGACACAGCAGTGCTGCTGGAGTTTTTAAACACCTCAGTGTCACTGCTGGACTGAGAATAGTCCACCAACCAAAAATATCCAGCTAACAGCGTCCTGTGGGCAGTGTCCTGTGACCACTGATGAAGGACTAGAGGATGACCAACGCAAACTGTGCAGCAGCAGATGAGCTATCGTCTCTGACTTTACATCTACAAGGTGGACCGACAAGGTAAGAGTGTCTAATAGAGTGGACAGTGAGTGGACACAGTTTAAAAACTCCAGCAGCACTGCTGTGTCTGATCCACTCAGACTAGCACAACACACACTAACACACCACCACCACGTCAGTGTTACTGCAGTGCTGAGAATGATCCACCACCCAAACAGAATAGTACCTGCTCTGTAAGGGTCCATGGGGGTCCTGACCACTGAAGAACAGGGTAAAAGGGGGCTAACAAAGTACGCAGAGAAACAGATGGACTACAGTCTGTAACTGTAGAACTACAAAGTGCACCTATATAGTAAGTGGAGCTGATAAAATGGACAATGAGCGTAGAAACAAGGAGGTGGTCATAATGTTATGATCAGTGTATTTCCATATACTTTTCAAAATATGTGTCAAGTTTGTAATATATGTTTGACACTTATGCAAATATTTAAAATTGATACTAATGTATATACGTTAAACAAAATATGTGCATATGGCAATATATACACATATATTAGCATATATAAATATGCACAGATGTTAAATATTATGTACATATTGCTGCTGTCAGAACAAAACCTCATATCTCCATTTTTGACATTTTTCAGCTTTTCACATAATTTGAAAATGCCTGTTGTCCTTTACATCATGTGCAAATTTCATGAAGAATGGACCAACAAAAATGGCCAAAATGACTTGGAAAAAAGTCTGGTTCCATTGACTTACATTAAATGTACAGTGTTTTTTTTCCTTCTTCTGTAAAGTTACCATTTTGGAGATTCAAGGTTTTTTTTCCAACAGCAGTGATATAAATAAATAGTATGTACATATATTTTCATATGAGATTACCTTGTGATAGTAAAGGTTCCAGTATCACCCTTCTGTGTAAACACAGCCTTACAGTGAGCAGCGATCTGAGCTCTAAAAGCTCTATTAGAAAAATAAACTGTGCTTGATTGAATTAGAGCCTTTTTGTAAGATTATGTAATGGGTCATCTCAATGTAAGCGCATAAACATTAGCAAAATCATATTTGAAAAGCATAACGAGTTGCAGGAATGAAGCTTTTTCCTGATCTGAAAGATCAACTCAGTGAGCTCCCAGTAACAGTGCTGGATTACAGCTATGAGAGATGTAAATAGAGACCCAGCAGAGTCTTCAAACAGCTTGTTGGACCCTTGAAATTCAAGTGTTTTGACTAAACGAGTCAAAAAGGCAATCACACGCATTTCTAAAGAGGCTCAAAATCATTTCCCCTTATTTCTTGGCAGAGTTTGTATATATTAAATCAACATTTTGTTTACGGAATATAAGCAATAGCAATTTTGGCAATTTTGACAATTTCTGTGACCTAAATTCAATATCTATTTCTGTGTTTCCTGCAAAGAAGCTCAACTACAGGTTTAAAAACAAGCCATTTTATGCACAGATGGATTCAGGTTATCTTATCTGGAACAGGAGACACATTTCAGTGCCAAAACAAAGAACTGTGCAATAGTCAGAATCTACCCTTCATTCATTTCATTTCCAGCCAAAGAACAAATTCATTTTTAGCGTCAGGGAAAAACAAACTTTTGACCAAAAAAAAAAAAATCCTTTTTCAGTATGTAGTGAGTCACTCTACCTTTATTCCAGCTTCCATTCTTTTCAGGAGACTCACTTTCAGTTCCTCAAAGAATCTGCAGACACACCTCCAAAGTTCAGTCTTAGAAGCTGGTTGATCATTTTCTGAAGTAATCAAACACATTCAGTGGTGTTGAGGTCTGGACTCTGGGGTGGTCAGTCCATCGTTCAGCTTCTTTGTTTGAGGTGTCCGTCTCCTTTTCTCAGTGAGGTTCTTCTTGAACAGCTACACATCCTTTCAGACCCACAGCGCTGAGTCGTCTTCTCACAGTGGAAGGATGGACAGAAACACCTGTGGATGTTTTCAGATCTGAAGCAGCTTGATTTTCTCCTCTCTCTCAGAGATGAAAGCTTTTAAGTGCTGTTTATCTGATGGGGGCAGTTTTGGTGTCTACCAGGTCTTCCAGGTGGTTGTTAGGAGCCTCATTTTCTACCCAATTTTTGATCTCCTGTTTTTTCTTTCTCCTTATGCAATTGAATTATTTAATATCTAATCTCCTAAGATATATCTCCTAAAAATGAATAACCTGTTCTTCATGGCTGCTTTGATTGGAAATGAAATAAATGAAGTATCAACCAGTTTGCATTGTATCCTTATACACCCTTAAAAAGATGGTCCTTCAGGGGTTCTTTAGTAAAGACAATGATTCTATATAGAACTTTGGACACTAAAGGGATTCTCTGCATGGTGAAATTGTTCTTCAGATTGATAGAGAAGGTGTTGTATAGGGTTCTACATAGCACCAAAAAAGGTTCTTGTATTGTATGATGTCAAGCCATCAATCTCCATCAATCTGAAGAACCATTTCACCATGCAAAGAACCATTTAATCATGCAAATGCTTCTTTTAGTGTTCATAGTTCTGTATAAAACCACTGTCTTTACTAAAGAATCCTTGAAAAACCATCTTTTTGAATAGTGTAGTCACTGAATAACAAGCCTTAAGATGCAATAAGACTTGATTTTAAGGGGTTAACGCTTATCTTATGCTGATAACTATGTGTTCAATATAATCATGCATCTCTAACAAAGTTATATTGTTATTAAATGTGTTTAATAACTGCACAAACACGCAACCATAATCAGTTAAATGCACGGAGGTGCTTTACTGCAGAATCTTACATGGAAATCTTGTCATCTTTAGAAGTATGTAGTCCAAAAAAGGAATTACTGCTTTATCTTTGCCCTCCAGCACAATTAATTTGAAAAGAAAGTGGGTGAAATGCAGTTTTATCAGCTTCAATTCTTAGATATTCATCTGCCTTTGGGGGGAAATCAGCTTAAAACAACTATTACTTCCAGGCACAGTATATCCAGTGAGCATACAAACACGCACTGATCAATATTCAACGACAAATGCAATAAGAGGATGTGACCGTACAAGAAAGTCACTTCACTGAATCACTAAGTTATCCAAATGGAAACAACTGGATTGTGGAGAACAGGGAAAAGAGCACTGCATTCCAGCAATGCATCTGTTAACGCTGGGGAGGAAGAACTCTGAGCAAAGAAGCTCGGAGTGGAAGGATATTGAAGTGTCTACTTAATAAAACAAGGATGTTTTCAAGCACGTCAAAAGCAATGACAGCCGACTGAGTGGATGCAAATAGTGACATCACAAGCCCCCCAGAGCATCATCTGGAAGCATGTCAGTGGCAGCTGGAAGCCTAATTTCAAAGAGACTGGAGCTGGCTTCTTTTATTGCCAGCTACTCATTCGAATAGTCCGTTCCACCTTAAATGGTGCAGCAGTTACAGCAGCCTCAGGCACCAGAATGTAACTGCTGCACCGTTTAAGGTGGAACGGACAATTCGAAAACACTGGCAAATTCGAGTCATTGTTTTATCCTCGATTTCCAATCTCTCGTGACCACATAAATGATTTGCGTCATGATTGACGAGGATTCATTGATACAAATCACTTTGGAGAGAAACTGGTCAAGAATGACCATCATGTCCACAAGCTGGCTGCAATCAGGAGCTCCAAAGCCCAACGTTGCCAACTTACCCAGCGTGTTTCCAACCAGAGAGACCAGGAACACGACAATATATCCCGCTATCAGGACCCACTCGTACTGCTTGGGGTGCAGGTACTCTCTCCAGATGTAGCGCAAAAGTTCCTCGTCCTCGTCCAGCTGCGGAGGCGCGTAACTTTCCGTGGAATTCAGCCGCTGCTCCGCTGCCGAGCAGTCGTTGCGTCCGACGGCGATCCCTGCCATGATGCGATGAGCGCCAGCCCTGTCCGTGCGCATCTACAGCATGACTGATAGCGCGCGCGCCGAGCGGATTTGGGAAGACGGGGGCTTTTAAACGGAGAGCTCGGTGGTCGCGGCGACGTGACGCGCTGAGGGACACTGATTGGAGCCACTGACTGGCTAACGCTGAAAGGACACACTGAAAGGTCCTCATGGAGCTCCTTACTGTATTAGAGACGCTCCCGCGCGCGTAATTAAGCACCGTTCCTGCCTGCTGTAGACCCTCGAAGGGGAATTCCAGCAACTTTTCGAAATTTATGATCTATAATTGAATGGTCGAGGTATGAAAGTTTGAAGGGATGTACTTTATTGTGGAGAAGCTTAGATTTCTTTACAGTGGGGGTGGGGTCACGATGTCTATCTGTCTGTCTATCTATCTATCTATCTATCTATCTATCTATCTATCTAATCAATAGAACTAATAGAAATGCTCCAAAATCACTTGGAATAAAACACCTTTATATTCACTTGCATTGAAAATTAAGAACCATGGACACTAAAAGAACCCTTTGCATGATTAAATGGTTCTTTGCCTGGTGAAACCGTTCTTCAGATTAATAGAGAACGTGTTGTGTATGGTTCTATATAACACCAAAAAGAGTTCTTGTACTATTACAATGTCAAGCTTGTGAAAATAGTAAAAGCATTCTTAATGCTACATAGAACCATTTTCAAAAAGGTTCTATATAGAACCACACAGCACATTCTCCATCATTTTACTATGCAAAGAACCATTTAAATGGTTCTTTTAGTGTTCATGGTTACATATAGGACAACTGTCTTTACTAAAGAACCCTCAGATTAATGGAGAATGTGTTGTATATGGTTCTATGTGGCACCAAAAAATGGTTCTGCTACTGTTATGACGTCAAGCTTGTTACAATATAGTAAACTTTCTTAGTGCTGTATAGAACCATATTCAAAAAGGTTCTATATAAAACCATACAACACATTTTCCATCAATCCTTAGAACCATTTCACCATGCAAAGAACCATTTAAGCATGCAATTGCTTCTTTTAGTGTTCATGGCTCTATATAGAACCACTGTCTTCACTGAAGAACCCTTGAAGAACCATCTCTTTGGAGAGTGTAGTCACTGAATAACAATAACTGCTAATAACTATGTGTTCAATATAACCATGCATCTCTAATGAAGTTATACTGTTATTAAAAGTGTTTAATAACTGCACAAACACGCAACCATAATCATTTAAATGCACAGAGGTGCTTTACTGCAGATTCCTACATTGAAAAGCTTGTAATCTTTATAAGTCTGTAGTCCAAAAGGTAATTACTGCTTTCTCTTTGCCCTCCAGCTCACTGAATTTGAAAGGAAAGGGGATAAAATGCAGCTATAATAGCTTTAATTCTTAGATATTCGTCTGCATTTGAGGGGAAAATCAGCTAAAAACAACAATTACTTCCATGCACTGTATATTCAGTAAGCATACAAACGCAAACTGATCAATATTCAAAGAGAAATGCAAAAAGAAATTACTGCAGAGTTCTGTAACCATACAAGAAAGTCAGATCACTGAATCTCTAAGTTTTGCGAGGAGAAACAACCAGATTGTGGAGAACAGGAAAAGAGCACTGTGTTAAGTGTTTTTGCCTTCTCCTGTAAAGTTACTATGTTGGAAATACATGTTTTACTTTGGACAGTGATGAAACAAATCCTGTTAATTGTTGCCAATATTTTACAGTATTTTCCACAGTAAAATTCTGTATTCATCATTTTATTTTGAAATCAACTCATCTTAAGATATTTTCAAATTACTGGCTGATACAGCACAGCATGTTTGGATATGACAGTTAAAGCAGCACTATGTAAGATTATTTTAGTAAAGCTGAAAGACGTAGCATTACAGAGTCAGGAGAATAAAGACAGGATAAAATATGATGAGTGTACGCTTCTGTGAGTCGCCCTTAACGCCTCAAATAATCATTTAGAAGTCAGAGGCGTTGGGTCAGGAGTTTTTCACACCACATCATACGTCTTTACTTATTGACGTCACACACAGACCAAAAAGAAAGTATGGCTCGATGTTTAGATCTCAAAATAATCTCAAAATCAACATCATACTGATGAAGATATGGTGACAATAGTAGATAATTCACTCACATCCTCAGAGGGCGCTCCTTTACCAAGTTTAGACTGAGTTCTCTTTGAATTCTCTTTCAATCATCAGATTCATCTGCTTGTGGGGGTCCGAAGCGCACCACGTTACAAAGTGCTCTTCTGCAAGATGCATACAATTACACATTTCCACCAGAGAGGGCTCCAAATCCCCAAACCTTACATGGTGCAGCTTTTAACAGTAATTTTTTACAGTAAAATACCGTATTCATCACTTTATTGTGAAATCAGTTCATCTAAAAACAGAGCAAATAACTGGTTGGTACAGCATGGCATTGTGAGATAGGACCCTTAAAGAAGGCAAAGAGGGTTTTTACCCAGTGTTTATGCCCTGCTTTCCTGTGCCATTCTATTATTATTTATTATTTTTGTATTGTCATAAAAAAAAAATCAGATGCATTTACATAAATAGATAATTCAACCAAATTGGCTTGAAGTCAGAGTTAAAAACACATTTTAGACTTTTAACTTGGACTTTACAATAAAATCCCTTTGCTTTGAGTGACCAATACCTTAATTATGTTTATTCTAGTAAAGCAAATGATTGAATATTCCATTTTGCAGAACTAAAATAATCACTTCCCAAACTTAATCAAATGTTTTAGTGATGACTGTTCATTCATGGGCTCATTTTGAGCAGAACTCAAAAACACTAACCAGTACATGACCAGCAAACACTGCTTTGAACAGCTGTACACAGATTAAATCATTATATTTTACATTAAAACACTAAAAAAATTGCTGAAAGTCTGTTTCAGTATTGACAACTCGTATTGTTCCACACTGATTTTCAGACTTTGAAACACATTGACCTAAAAACAATGGGATCTAACTGCTCACCATGTGGCCATGAGGGACAGGGATGCTCACTTCCTGCTCTAAACTGCAGGGGTGTGGCTAAAATAAGGCTCCGCCTACAGACTAAAACTCTTTATGATTTGGTAGTGACATGAAAAAATGGCACAGCACTTTTTTCTAAAAGTTTTTATTTAAACATTAAATTCATGATAAATCTGAACCTTTCGACGTCACTTTAAATAAATCAATAAGATCTTTATAAACAGCATCGAGAAAACACAAATTATTTTCACCAGGTGTAAATTTAGGGTTTGGGACAGACACTTTCCAATCTAATGTACCCTATAAATGATGATTTTGTATATATTTAGCTTATTACTATCTCTATCAATGCCTTGAGTTAAAATAGATAACATAACATGATCCTGTAAATATATAAGAACTGAATACTTCATTGTTTTCTAATGTGTTTTAAATGTCTTTTTTTATTTATTTATTTATTTTCTGTGGGTGCGCAGTTTGAAGTAATTCAATTGAACGGTCCATATCTGCTTATTGAGTGTATAGCAGTTTAGCTCCACCCATTCACACTAAAGCTATAAGAAGTGTTTCAGCCTGCACTGCTTTATGAATGAGGTGCAATACAGGGAGCCAATCAGAAGAGAGCTCGTTTACTTTGAATTGCCTCCATTGTCACTGAGATTGACTCAGCCACTAACCCAGCAGCTGGACTACACAAAACTACCCAGCACTGCAGAAATAACAAAATGACCCACTAGGCTCAGCACAGTGTTTGGGTAGAACAAATAGCCCAGCATTATTTGGAGTGTAACTCGGTATTTTGTTGTAACTGACTGCCTTAAATGACTCAATAAAAAGAAACACGCATGTTGTGAACAGACATATGATTGTTTATTTAAAAGAATAAAGCTGTATTAACCTCTGCTTTACTGCAAACAGCTGGCTGTTTATCACTGAATGACTGCAGGCATCAAAGAACACTAATTAATGAGCTACTCCATAAAAAATGAATAGGCTTCAAAATGATCAGAATCACATATTTAAGTGAAGCCCATTGGTTTTGTGTATGTGTGTCTGTTTAATATGAAGCCCCAATTAATTGCTCACCTTTATAGGTCCTAGCCCAGAAAAGGATGGCATGTCCACTCCAGGTAAGGGGAAGGGGACCTGCCCCAGGTGGAGGAGTTTAAGTATCTCAGGGTCTTGTTCACGAGTGATGGGAAGAGGGATTGTGAGATCAGCCGCACTCTGGGAGCGGCCTGGGGTCCCTGGGAATGAGCTGGAGGAAGTTAGGGGGACTGGGATTCTCTGCTGTCCCAACTGCTACCGTGACCCTATCTGGACTAAGCGGTTAATGATGATGATGATGATGATGATGATGGCCCTTATAGTAGCAATACAGACTGACCTGGTAACTCAAAACCCCATCATTTGTTAAAATAATAAACACCTGTAAATGCATTAGAGCCAGACTTTTAGCCTGAAGATAACCTCTTCTGACCCATAGTTAATTTTATTTGAAGATAACTGATGAAAATAGGATCTAATTAACAGAACCAACAAAGCATTAAGAATACAAAGAGAATGAATTGTTGAACAAACTTAATATCTCTACTTTTGCTCTTGACTGTGTTGTATGGTTTAATCACTCTGTCCAGTGAATGATTTTGTACATTTTAATTAATGAGCTCATGAGTTTTTATCAGGAGGAAAAACACAGAAACCTCAGCTACAGTGCAGTGGTCCACTGAGACCCCTTTTACAAATATGGCACACTGAAAACAGCAATTCATTGAATTTAGCTGATTTAAACGTGAGCAATGGGTCCATTGGGTCCACTTAGTCCTTCAATTAGCGGCCTTTGGCAATTACTGTGGTGTTAAAAATATCAGTAGGGTCTAACCAGGTACGTGTGATGGTACTAACTCCAAAGTACTAGATAATTATTTTGGGTAACATGATGATGAGCTCAAATACAGTCTAATTTAATTACACTGAATAACTAAC